CTGTGTGTGTATCTGTGTTCAATTGTACCCTTCTTTGGGGGATGGAAGGAATAGTTAAAAGTATACAGCAGAGAACAAAAGAAAACCTAGAAGGAAGCAAAGCAAAGCTGGGTAGCTTTGAAAACAATATGTAGTATTTATTATAAAGGTTTTCTTGAAATGGAAATTTATTGTTTCATATTGAATTCTCTTATGTTCTGCTGTGTACATGGAAATCTTTTTTCTCTTTTCTCACTTTGTATTTAAATTTAAAATGAATAAAAAATTTACAAAAAAGAATTTTTTACATAAAAGTAGAGACTGGCTTTTTGGTGAGTTTGGGGTTTGGGTTTTTTTTTTTGGCCTTTGTATACCTAAAACTTGACACATTGCCTAGCACATAGTAGGCACTTAATAAATGCTAACTAACTCTGCCTCAACAGAATTCAAGACTCAGCTCAAATACCACCTTCTACTTGAAACCTTTTCCCTATTACATAGATATTTTTGCATATAATCCTCTATCTCTCTAGTTCTCAGTTTTGCTGGCACATAATTGTGCATAATAGCCTCTGATAATTCTTTTTATTCTGTTGAGATTTCACATTGCTCATTTTTTGTTCAGTTAATTGGATTTTCCTCCATTTTAAAAGTCAGATCAGCTAAAGGTCTATTAGTTTTACTAATCTTTTCAAAGAACTAGCCTTTCATTTTAAGTCTGTTTTCCAGTTTTTCTCCTCTTTCAAAATTGCCTTTTTCCGAATTATTTCAGTTTATTTGTTCATCCTCTGTCTTAAGTTGCTTATTCAGTTCACATGTACTCTCTTTCTATTTTGTTAATGCATTTTCCTCCTTTCTACCTCAGTGAGAGCTGAGTCTGGCCCCCCTACCTCACCTTTCTCACTTCCTCCATGCTGCAATCTTAGATCCCACAACCAATGACAAAGAGTCCCCACTCATCCATTCATTCCCTCAACTCAGTTTGTCAGTTGTCCTCTCATTGAAGTAAACTCAGTTGACATGGGAGTAGGACCAGCTCCTCCTGGAAGTGAGAAGGCAATATTGCTCCTTCTTCCCAAGCCTCTCCTCCAGTTAATTCTAGGGGTAGGCAATAGGTCACAGCAAACTACCAATTCCCACACCACTCACTCACTCAATCAATATTTATTAAGAGCCTAGTATGTACTATGCACTGTGCTAAAAGTTGGGGATACAAAAAGAGGCAAAAGATAGTCCCTGCCCCTAAGGAGCTCACAATCTAATGGGAGACAAGAAGCAAATATATACAAAGAAACTATGTACAGAATTGTTCAGTCATTTTTCAGTTGTGTATGACTCTGTGATCTCATTTGAAGTTTTCTTAGCCAAGATACTGGAGCGGTTTGTTATTTCCTTCTCCAGCTCATTTTACAGATGAGGCAAACTGAGGCAAACAGGGTTAAGTGACTTGTCCAGGGTCACACAACTAGTCTGGGGCCAGATTTGAACTCAAGAAGATGAGGCTTCCCCAGGCCTGGCACTCTGTGTACTGTGCCACCTATGTACGGAATAGGAAATAATTAAAAGAGGGAAGGCACTAGAATTAAGAGGAGTTGGAAAAGGCTTCTAAGATGGGATTTTAGTTGACACTTAAAGGAAGTCATTGCAGGCTTTAGAGAAAATGCCCAGAGCCAAAAGATGGCATGTTTTGTTCCTGGAACAGCAAGGAGGCCTGTGTCACTGGATCAAACAATAAAAGAACAGGGGATAAGGTATAAGAGGACTCCAACTGGGAGGGGGCTAAGTTATGAAGGGCTTTGAACACCAAACAGAGCATTTGGTATTTGATCCTGGAAGCAATAGGATGCCGCTGGAGTTTACTGAGTGAGCCCCCTCCCCCCAACATGGTCAGACTTGCACTTTAGAAAATCACTTGGATGACTGGATGGAGTATAGATTGGAACAGGGAGAGACTTGAAGCAGACAGACCTGCCAGGAGGCTATTGTGAGGTGATGAGAATTGGTGGCAGTATCAGTGGAGAGAAGGCGGCTTATTCAAGAGATGTTACAAAGGTGAAATTGATAGGGCTTGGCAACAGATTGGATAATCAATGTGAGAGATGGTGAGGTGTCAAGGATAACACCTAGGTTGCAAGCCTAAGTAAGGAAAGATAATAAGTTCAGTTTGGGACATATTGAGTTTGAGATGTCTGAAAGACAGTTGGAGATGTGAGATTAAATGTCAGCAAAGACGTTTGGGTAGGATAGATAGATCTGAGAACTATCAGCATAGAGATGGAAATTAAATACACTGGAGCTGATGATATCACCAAGTGAGATAGTATAGAGGGAGAATAGGGCCCAGGACAGAACCCTTTGGAATGGAACACCTACCTGGTGTTCAACTAGGGAGACTGAAGAGGAGCAGGTCTGATAGGTAGGAGGAGAAAGAAGAAAGAATACTGCCAGGAAAGCCTAGGGAGAAGAGCGTATCAGGAAGGAAAGGGTCATCAACAGTGTCAAAGGATGCAGAAAATTCAAGTATGAAGATTAAAAAAAGGCCATCGAAGGGGCGGTGGGATGGCACAGTGGATAGAGCACTGGCCCTAAAGTCAGGAGGATCTGAGTTCAAATCTGGCCTCAGAGACTTGATACTTACTAGCTGTGTGACCCTGGGCAAGTTATTTAACCCCAACTGTCTCACAAATTAAAAAAAAAAGACCATTGGACCTGCCAACTAAGACATCATTCATTGGTAACTTTGGAGAAAGACTTTTCAGTGGAATGTTGAGGTTATAATAATAATTATGAACAATGCTGTTAACAATCATTCCTGGTGTTGGTTTACTAAAATTAAGAAGCTTCATTTTTTAAGAAGAGCCAAATATAAGTGTATTGGAATGTATGTAAAAGAAAGCAAGGGAATTCTTCCCACTGTCCAAAAGCTCTGACAGTTGTAATCAGGAAGAACCTGCAGCATTATTCCCACTGCTCACAGCTAAGTTGCAAGGACAACTTAGTTCTGTATGATAAAACTATGAGACGAAGTAGTCATTGGTTTAAAAGCACAATTCACGGTTTATTTTAGTTTTTACAAAAACACTAAAAGAGAAAAACCCCCACAAAGCTTCTATTTATCCTACAATCCAAATTTCATTCCATTAAAAAAAAATTCGGCATGGTCTAGTGGCTTAAATGAACATTTTAGGTCCTCCAAAATCAGTTAAGAAATTTAGAGTAATCATTTAAGAGCATCTCTATAAAACCGTGGGCCAGAGTTGCCCCGGATCTCTGCAGACAGCATGCACTATCACCTCCACCCTGGCCTAAACCCAACAGCACTGTGAAGAAGAAAGTTTAGGGCAACTTTCTACCAGATTAGTTTTCACGCTGTCCATAGCAGGAGGAGTAAATCTAGCCCAATATGACTGTGATGTTTCTCTCTACCATCCCATTCAAGCCAAAGCACAAGCCCACCTCCTGGACTAACAATATAAATTACTTCCAACCCTACCTTACTCTTACCACCAATAATCAATATTCTCAGCAGACAGAATGTCAGCCGACCACAAGTATTACCTCATCCAAACAGTTGTATTTTAAAGGGGGCAGGATCTCAGTTTGGAGCGAGGGGAAAAGGCAATAACACTTAAGTTCAAGTGTTTTATTTCTTGGTAGTTTATAGCATCGGAGGGTCAATTTCTCCGAGCCTGGAGCTGACCAATCAGCGCGCGCGGGGGTGGGGAGAAGGTGGGGGAGGTCCGAGGGTCGTAGGAGGGAGGAAGGTGAGAGGAGAACCTACACACCAAAAAGGAAGGGACCAGGACAGGAGACTATCTCTGCCCATTGATTGGGGTGAGGGAAGAAACGAACTGTCCAACCTCACCACCTTCCCCCCAAAAAAGATGCCTGAGCTATTTCCTCACTGAGGAAGAGAGTTTAGTGATGAACATGCATTTATGGAGCACCTAGATCACAGCGTTGGGGACTGGCAGAGTGCTTACAGATCATCAGCAAAGTATAGTGGGTAAAGCGCTCAAAAGACCTGGGTTCGAATCCTGCCTCGGACCTCTTAATAGCTTTGTAGACCTGAGGCTCAGTTTTCTGTTCTGTAAATCAAGAGGGCAGGGACCCAAAGACTTCAAAGCTCCTGTTCTAAATCGAAGATCCTAGGATCTAGCCCCCCGTTTTACAAATAAGGAAACTGAGGCCCAGGGAGGCTATAAGCAACGTAGTCAAGGTAAGTAGTTGAGGCAGACACTCAAGTCTGGCGCGCTGAGGGGGTTGGGGTGGAGGCGCGTGTGCTATTGGCACCCCTCCCCCCAATCCAGGAAATGGTGCGAGGTTGGAATCCCCACAGCACCCGGCGGTCCGGTAGGATGCGCACCGAACTTGCGAGCGTGGGAGCTCAGCCCTAGTGGAGCAGGATGTGCCGGAGAAGCTCAAACCGCAGTCTCTGCCACCCCTGCAGGGCCCGTCAAGCTCCAAGAAGGGAATCTTGAACGAGGCTGTGGTCACTTCCTCAGTTGCGACACTTAGCACAGTGGTCTACGCCCCCTCACCCCCTTCCCCGCGCTTGATCTATTGGGCCGGATTAGGGCTAGGACTGGAACTGGAGGGTTGGTTAGTGTTGCAGTCGGAGTCCGAGTGTGAGTCGAAATTAGGGTTGGGTTAGAACATACGTTTTGTACGTGTTTCACAGCCAACTTCTCAGCCTTCTGCCCACTTTGAACTTCTCCTCAACTCTCCATATATCTTAGACACTGCTACCTGTCTAGTCCTACGAGATCCACACCCGCCCTATCAGCTTCAGTCACGTTCTCTACCAGCTCATTCAATTGTCTGAGGTGGCAGAATCCCTCTTTTACAGGCTTAGGCTGGGTCTAACTCCCTACCCCATTTTCCCTGGCCACAGTCTGGACTCAGTGTTCTTTCCTGAACGTCCCGAAGCCTCGGAATGTGTCCATCCCCATTTTCCATCCCAACTTAGTTCTGAAAGTTCTGCACGCTCAGTTCCTTCATCTGCAGCTCCTTGAACTCACCTGATGAAACAGCCAGAACATTCAAGATCGCTAGAGCTATTCCCGGCGTGGTCAGGAACCAGAAAGGGGCACTGCGGGTGGGGGCCATTGGTCTCCTCGTGCTCTTAAACTCGCTGCTTTTTCTCTTACAACAAACGAACCACACACACACACACACAGAGCTATTGGAAATGGACTATTTTTCAGCTGGCAACGGAGCTATGCCTAAAGCTCACTAGACCTGCCTCTCTCCGCCCACTCTCCTGACCCCTCCCTTTTCCTGTTCTCTTGTTCACCCTCAGCCCAGAGCACTCGGGTTTCTTGTTTCTTTTTTTATATACCTACAACATACTTTTATATTTAATTTGCAAATGAAGAAATTTTGAATGCTGTGGATAAGTTCACTTACCTTGGTACTGTACTTCCCAGGGATGTATACATTGATAATGAGGTTGATGTTGGCATTGCCAGAGCTAGCTCAGTGTTCGGGAGGCTCCGAAGGAAAGCGGGGGAGAGAAGAGGTATTAGACTGACTACCAGACTGAAGGTCTACAGAGCTGTTGTGCTGACCTTATTATTGTATGCCTGTGAAACCTGATCAGTATACCAGGGCCATGCCAGGAACCTGAATCACTTCCATTTGAATTGTCTTAGGAAGATTCTGAAGATCGTCTGGCAGGATAAGATAGACACCAGACACCAAGGTCCTTTCTCAAACTGAACTGCCAAGCATTCAAACTGTACTTCAGAGAGCTCAACTCCAGTGTTGTTCAAATGCAAAAAACCCAAGACTGCCCCACTAGGCAAGTGTTCACATGGTGGTCAGAAGAAGTGATACAAGGACACTCTCAAGGTCTCTCTTGAGAACTTTGGAATTGATTGTGTGATATGGAAGACACGGGCACAGAGACTGCTCAGCATGGCATGCCCACATCAGAGAAGATGCTGTGCTCTATGAGCAAAGCAGAATTGAAGCAGCTCAAAAGATAGGGGAGATGCAGATTTAGAGAGTCCACCCCAAATATTCACATGGACTATTTGTGCCCAACCTGTGGTAGAGCATTGCGTGCTTGTCTTATCAGCCACAGTAGGACACACTCTAACTTGATTCTAACAGAGTGCTTTCTCTTTCTAAAATTCTTCTCTTGTCACACTTCCAGGCTGCAAAGACTCATACTGTGATGCTGTAGCTCAATGGGCTGGTTATTCCAAGCCTCCAGAAATGTTTTTCCTGACTGGGAGCCAGGGGATAGAGGCTACCTTGCCACCACTTCGTGGTGCTAATACACTCCCTTCTCTCTAAGCTTTCTTCTCATGTCAGAAAAAAGGCTTAGTTGTGTGAGCCCAGATTCACTTAACCCTACATCTGTAATTCTGATGGAAGTTCTGGCTTTTGATCCTTCACTCACTGGCAAAGCTTGGGTGACAGACACACCTTGGAGTCAAAAATATTTCTACCCTCCCCAGAGTAAAAGGGTTTCCCCACCCACTAGCATTTCCCCGCCTTTTTCTTTCCCAGGTCTCAAGAGCCACTTTTGGGTTTCTCACTTTCCTCCTCAGGGATTTCCCCTCACAAACCTTCCACCCTGTGAGAGTCAACTTCCTGACCCCTCTGGGCATCTCCATCTATTTAACTGTCCTCAGGTTCTCTTTGACATATCCCTTACAATTTCCCAGGTGGCCTTGGCTCACCTTTCTCTGGGTATTCTCACCTGCCAACAGTTCTCTGCCCTTTTCCTTCCCAGATTTCAAGAGCTACTTTTGTAGCTCAATCTTCTCCATCAGGGGGCTTGCCCTTCACAAAGCTTATATTTATAAGTTTATAGTTATAATACAGTTTATAGATTTACAATTCACTATATATTTTTCTCACAATAGCCCCATGAGGCCTTCCTCAGGGCAGTTATCATAACCATAGATTACTGTCTTGTGGTGGAGGGGTTTGCATAGCTCAGTGAAACTGGGGTGGAGGGAAGGGTTCTGACAAAAGGTGATCCATCGGAGAAAGAAATGGCAAACTCCTCCAGTATCATTGCAAAGAAAACCTTACCGACAGTACCAAAATCAAATGAGCCTTAAGGAATCATTGCTAATAGTATGGCTAGTGGAAATGATGGAATTCCAGCTGAGCTACTTACAATCCTAAAAGATGATGCTGTTAAAGTGCTGCACTCAATATGCCAGCAAATTTGGAAAACACAACAGTGGCCACAGGATTGGAAAAGATCAGCTGTTCCAATCCTAAATGGCAAGGAATGTTCAAATTACTGAACAATTGTGCCCATTTCATGCCAGCAGTTATGCTTAAGATCCTGTAAGCTAGGAGCAGCTAGGTGGCGCAGTAGATAGAGCTCTGGCCTTGGAGTCAGGAGGACTTGAATTCAAATCTGACCTCAGATACATGACGCTTATTAGCTGTGTGACCCTGGGCAACTTACTTAACCCCGATTGCCTCATCAAAGGAAAAAAAAAGAAAAAAAAGATACTGCAAGCTAGATTTCAGCAATATGTGAACTAAGAATTACCAGAAGGGCAGGCTGGTTTTCAAAGAGGAAGAGGAACTAGAGACCAAATTGCCAACATTCTCTGGATTATGGAGAAAGCAAGGGAATTCCAGAAAAAACATCTACTTCTGCTTCATTGACTACACTAAAGCCTTTGACTGTGGATCACAACAAAGATGTGGCAAGTCCTCAGAGAGATGGGAGTGCTGTATCCTTTTACTTTTCTTTTGAGGAACCTGTATTCAGGCTAAGAAGCAGCAGTTAGAACTGAGCATGGAACAACTGATTGGTTCAAGATTGGAAAAGTAGTATGACAAGGTTGTATATTGTCACCTTATTTAACTTATATGCAGAGTACATTACGCAAAATGCTAGGCTGAATGAATCAAAAGCTGGAGAAATATCAACCATCTCAGATACGCAGATGATACCACTCTGAAGGCAGAAAGTGAAGAGGAATTAAGAAGCCTCTGGATGAGGGTAAAAGAGGAGAATGTAAAAGATGGCTTGAAGCTTAACATCAAAAAACCTAAGGTCTTAGCAGCTTGGTCCCATCACTTCCTGCTTTTGAATTGTGGTGCTGGAGAAGACTTTTGAGAGTCCCTTGGAGAGCAAGGAGGCCAAATCAGTCAATACTCAAATCAATTAATCCAGGCTACTCACTGAATGGTCAAATACTGAATCTGAAGCCTAAACACTTTGGCCACATGAGAAGATGGGACTCACTGGAAAAGACCCTGATGTTGGGAACGATTGAAGGAAAAGAAAAATGGGAAGGCAGAAGATAAGAGAGATAGATATATGGAAACAATGAACATGAACTTGGACAGACTTCCAGAGATAATGGAGGATAGAAGTGTCTGGAATGCTATGGTCCATGGTGCCAGGAAGAGTCATGACTGAACAACAGGAGGCTATTGAGGTCATTACAATGCACCCTGCATCCTTTCATGCTAAGTGAAATTTGGAAATGTGACCTGCTAGATCTTGTCAAGGAAGCCTGTAGCTGATGTAAAACCCAGGTGTCCACTTTCACCAGGAGTCCAACCCATAGGACGGCTATAAACCCACCCTGGAATAACTGTTTTAGCCAGTCCCACCACTACCACCACTACTTACCTGGATGGAGCCAGAATAAATCCATGACTTCTCCTATTGCATGACCCTGATCTCTGTGATGACAGTAATGTTGAGTTGTATCCTATATTTTAGAGAGGAACCAGAATACTTGTCAGCTAAGTTTCCCCATGGTATTGATCCAGAAGCAGTGAGATGCCCCTTTCATCTTCTGTACATAGGTATGGTGGCCTAGTGGGAATTACAAGCTCAGTGGGGGAAACATGATGGCAACAATAGGGAAGTAGGAGAAAAGTGAGGGCATGATTGGGGTCATCTCTGGTGTTTTCAGAGGTTCTGTAGTCCAGGCCATTGCATCCAGGATGTTAGCATAGCTGTCCAGATCCTGGATGGTTCCTTCAGGGTGCCAGAGTGCTGGAGCTATCTGTGAAGTGTTTCAAGGCAGTTTCCATAGCAGAATCGGGTTGGGATGGAGGGGAAGTGTTGTCAGCAAACTGCTCTGCCTAGTTACCAGCAGATAAAAAAAGAAATTCACTCACCTCCCAGGGCTTTCCTTCAGCCTATAGCACTGTCAGAAGTGAAAAACTCAGAGATCATACAAATGGGAAAAGGACCCACATGTACAAAATATTTATAGCAGCTCTTTTTGTGTTGGCAAAGAATTGGAAATTGAGGGGATGCCCATTGATTGGGGAATGGCTGAGCAAGTTGTGGCATATGAATGTAATCGGATACTATTGTGCTCTAAGAAACGATGAACAGGCTGACTTCAGAAAAACCTGGACAGACTTCTATCGTCTGATGCTGAGTGAAATGAGCATAACCAGGAGAATGTTGTACACAGTAACAGTCATGTTGTGAGATGACTAATATTGATAGACTCAACCCTTTTCAGCAATACAAGGATCTAAGACATCTCCAAAGGCCTCATGATCGAAAATGCTATTCATATCCAAAGAAAGAATGGAGTTTGAATGCAGATTGAAGTATACTATTTGCTATTTTTTTTCTTCTGTTGTGTTTTGTTTCCTCTTTCTGGTGGTTCCTTCTATTGGTTCTAATTTTTACCTCCAACATCAGTAATGTGAAATCATGTTTAATAGGAATTTAAAAAAAAGAAGTGAAAAACTGACCATGATGTTACCCTTCCCCACAGTCTGAGAGGTCATCAATATTCTGTAATTGGCAGTTGGGAAGTACTGTAGCACTGAGTCTATCCCCAGTGCTAGGGGCCAGAGAAATAACAGATAAAGGTAGGAAAGTAGAGGTCAGGTGTTTGGAAGTGGGATTGGGAATTTACCATAAACTCTCTGGAGTGCTAGCTGTCCTAAACAAATGGAATGCTGGCTAGAAGTGTGAGTGCAAGTTTCTTTTTATGAGTGCTTGGATGGGCTGGCTGGGTCCGAGTGCAATCAATAACCTCCAACTCAGCCTCTGGCCCCTTCCTAAGAATTTTAGGACTGAAACTTGTAACCTGAGAAGGATGGGGTTAACTTTGGATGTGAATGGAAAGAAAAGTTTCATGGGCCTGTGGGAATGTGTCGATGACCACAATTTGCAAGTCTTTTGCTAAACTTCCAGGGAAACTTCAAAGCTCCTAAATCAGTCTTCAAGTTACTCTTATCTCTGAGGCAGCACTAGACTGCCAGCCCCCAGA